AGGATGGAGGGAACAAGGCCTGAGCCAGTCATGTTACTGACTGGAGTGAAGCTTACTGTTTTCATCTAAAAAGCGTAATTCCTGCTTAGTCTTTGTCACAGCTGAAAGTCCTTGTCTATTACTGGGCAACAGGTAGCCTCCTGAATTTCTTCAGTAACTTTATAGTTTCTTACACGTTGGTGACTACATAGGCCTCAGTCTTTTTGCAGTCTATGAGTTGGGTTTTTTAAGCCATTCTGCAATTTTTTCCCTTGAAAGGACAGATTATTTACCAGATAGTAATAAATGATACTAGCCTAGTATTAACTGTACTTTTGTCTATCAGGATCTCTTTTCAAAGTTTCACTGATCGCTATGAAATATTGAGAAAGTCACGTAGGTCCAGCAAAACCAGTGCATGTGATAAAAGCAACTGCCATACTGCCAAGAAAAAAGGTATGTTTGTTTAGATAGTCCCTTTGCTATAAAAATGTCCCTGCACCAAGTTGATATCACATAGATCAGATGCAATAATTGTATTCAGCACTTTGAAACACCCGCTATTCTCAAAATACATTTCTAACCTCTCTAAACTGACTTCAGTTTCTAATCTGCCTAATGCATATGGTGGGCTCTTTTAAAAAGAGCAAATCCTTCATCTTTACTACTGCTTTTCCATGTTCCTCTTTGGTAGAAGCAATTAGTTATGAAGTAATATAATTTGATTTAGAAATAGTTAAGTAAACCAGAAAACCACTTACCTTTTTACTTATATTCCTTATCCTTCCTTTTTTTTCCCCCCACTTTGTTTTCTTGCCAAACGCACTGACCTTCTAGCTTACCTGGATTCTGCTGCTTCTTCTGCCTGTTACAAACTTCTGTACACAATTCTTTTTTCTAAACAAGAGCGAGGATGGACATTAAATACATAACCCAGTCTACCAGGTAATGTCTTTGGTGAGCCCCTGAAAAAGGAGCTCATCATCAGATAGTTATATTTAATATTGAAAGTGACTGCAAATCCCTTCCCTGCCCCAGATTAATCCCATCTTCTTGGGTCTTTTCAGTAACCAGTAGGTGTGAGAAATAAGGTCAGTAAGGACCAGCCCATTTCAGATGTGTTTAATGGCTGGAAATCCGTTCACCCTGCTGAAATACAATGAAGCAGGGAAGTACAGTCTGGAAAATTACTTACATTCCATATCTTTCTCCCTTAATTATAAACCCATTAGTTAGAATGCTTCATTGTGAAGTCAGTACTCCTTTTTATCTTCAGTGGGTTACAATCTGCAAACAAAGTAAAACAATTTCCTAAACATGAGGATAAGCTTTTCTTTTCCTATCAGCTTGGTCCCATGAACATAATGATAGTCACCAGATGTCTTTCTGTATGCAAGAGTTGTTTGTATTTGTTTGCAGAGCCTTAAAATGCTCTCATCTCCTCACAAATAATTATAGCAGAAAAACAAACTGTATCCAGGATGAAAAGATACAGTGACTGTCAAGTTCTGGCATTAGGCATGCAGAAAACTCATGCAGCATTGCCTTGAGCAATACAGTCTCCTTAAAGGACAAGTCTGAATTAAGTCTTCCTCCCATACCAGCTTGAATATGCCACAATGGAGGCAATAATACAGTGCATTAGCATCCAAACCACATCCTCCTTTAAACACATTGAGCTATCTTTCTAGTTGTTAGCACATGGCAAAATCTATGCAGCTGCATTTCTCCCTAGTGGCTAGAACTAGTCATATCTCAGCCATCACCCCCAGATGGCTGCGGTGTCTCAGTGTAAAGGCAAACCTGGTCTTGATTTCCAAATTTTGCAATACCTTCTTTTCAATACTTCATTTGCAGGTGAGACTGCAGCGGTGGATGACAACAAAGCATCACGTTCTGTTGTCATTGAGATCCTGCAGAATGTTGTTACAGGACAAAGTGCTGCTGAGCCCACAGGGAAGGGATCAGAGAACACTCCAGTGTATTGTGGCAAAACCAAAATATTTATGGCTAATTCTGTGGTAAGAGTGCCATTTCCTCAGCTAACAGTTCTGGAATATACTTGTGTTGCTGGTGTTCTCACTGTTTCAGCATGGATGACAGCTTTCCCTGGCTTCTGCTGGTAGCTTAGCTCCTCTGACAGGCCCAAGCAGATCCTTTTTTGACAAATACAAAGAAGGCACTTCTGCACTTTTACAAAGCTTGCACACTGAAGGGTGTAGCTATTTAAAAAACAGACAAGCAAAACAAAACAAAAAGCAACTCTCACTCAGTAGAGCTAATTTTAAGCCAGCTGTTACTGTGACTTCAGGAGTGTGTTTTCCCCCACAACACTTTTTCCCCCTCAGATATACATGCATTCTACTTTAACCTTACATACTATATATAACTGTATAATAAGCATTAATGACATGCTGTCATCTCTAAAATATAAGCAATCTTGGGACCTGACAAGCAGCAAATGATTGTAGAAGGGTTAAGAACACAGCTCTGTCCCTGACTATTAACTGCAGGTTCGTATCCCCAACACAGCTAGAGCAGCTTGAAGCTAGAAGAGCAGAGGTGTTAAACAAGAAAGCATTTTGCATTCAGTGTTGCTGGAGAAGATTTAAACAGAAGAAACTTGCAAAGGAGAGAAGGTCTGCAACACTCATCCAAGCAGGTAATTTGATGAGAGTGTGGCTGGACATAATGTAACTAGTAACATTTCCAGCCACAGTGGGTATTTAAAGAAGGGATATGCTAATTGAACATGGAGAAGGCTTAAGTGCCATCTTTCTTATATTGTCTGCAACAGCTGCTTGAAATTCTTTGCACTTAGATTTCTTTTAATTAAATCTTCAGCTATTCGCTCCTGGTTAGCCAGGAACCGCTTCCAAAGGATGCGCAGGGCTGCAGATGCCATTAAGCGTGGATGGAGGAAATGGAAAGTAAGTATGTTGGTACAGAAAAGGATTAAAGCTGAGCGAGTGAAGCTTTGTAGTGGTTTGAGAAATAATCTGCCCCTACCAACTAACTGTACAAATCCCACACTGTCAGTTTTTCAGAAAACATTTCTTAAGCCGAAGCACAGAAGATGGATGCCAGTCTTCTACAGCTGCTTGGGAGCTAATTTGTTCTTAATTATCTATAAAATGGGAAACCATCCCACACGGTGTCCTGTCCCTTACTCTTTACCCCTTATACTTTGTTTTAGACTCTTTGTTTGCAGTTTTAAATTCTGCTCAATAATTTTTCTGCATCTCTTTATCAGGCAAAAATGGCTGCTTTAGCAGCAGTGGAATTAGATGAGGGTGGTGAAAAGGCACCTTTCTCAGCAATGTCAGCCAAATCACCATGCTCTTTGGAAACAGCTTGGCCTCTACGTGCAATCATTCAGCTTTGGCCTCTTGGCCTCGTCCTGTCTGCTGCACCTGTTACCATAGTGGGACTCCGGAGAGAGCTGTCTCTGCTGGCATGCTTCAAAGTACTTCAGAGGGTTGGCTGCTACAAGATGGAAAGCAGCTTCTTAGGTTGTGGCATCACTTCTATTAGAGCTCTCCCGCAGGTAAGATACCTCACACAGCACAACTAAACTGTCATGAGGTCAGGATCCTAGAACAGTACTGGCACAAAGTCTGCTATCAGTCTAGTTTTTCTTTCTTTCTTCACTGCTTTAGATATGCAAGGATGATTCAGATGTTAATAGGTCAGGTAAGACATGGGTCTCAGCTGTGAGACCAAAGCATGAAAGTTCTTGCTAGTCTGTCATAGGAACAAACTGATCAAAGTTTCTAGTTGTACTTACAAGTTGCTTGTATAATAAGGCAGTGCTTTGTCTGAACAGTGAAACTAGATCACAGTTCTGCAAAGCACCAACTGGCCTCTCCACCTTGTTTTCTTCCAGGGCTCTGTCAGGTTTCACTGCAAGAAGTCTCCCCTGCATTATGCAGATGTCAGTCCCCACACAGCTGCCTATTCTGTCACTGGTTTTAACCAGATTTTATTGGACAGAAAAGAACTGCTTCCAACATAACTTTTGGCCATCCACATGTACGGAACATTTCCTTCAGGGAAGGACTGCCTGCAGGCTGCTGCTTTTCAAGTTACTCAATGTCCCTATCTGCTGCTACCTCAGTTTCCTATAATCACATGTATAATCAATGTATGCATATTATAATTCAAATTTAGAATGCAGGGGAGGCATTCCTCCTCTCACACACGCACATACTAGAGGAGATAATCAGTACTATGAGAAAATAGATCAAGTGCTTTAAAGAGTATATACTGGAACAGAACACTTCTAGCTGTACATGGTCAAAACAAGAGGCTGGTAATGAGATAGCAAAAAAGGCAAACACTTCTGATGTGTGCCAGGCTCTTGTTGGGAGGTACCACAAACATTTAGTAACCTGCGACCAAGGAAGTAAGTAGCACTCAACTGTAACACGAAAGGCAGATGTCTCAGGGAAAAGCAAGACCAGAGTCTTGCTTTTTATCTACAGGACCAAAATACATTGTGATCTGTGTGTTTCTAACATGACCTAGCCAACAGCATAACCTCTGCAGAGGGACCAAGGTTCTCATCAGGGCACACTATATCACCTCTGTTATGTACGTGGGTCTTGAAAATGTTCAGCTTTTCTGTGTATGCCACATCTAAATAAACTCCTAAGTATCTTGTGAAGGTGTATGACTATCCTCAACAAGGTCAACAAAAGCATTTCAGGTTCATTTTGTGAGTTAAGACAAATGCCAGTATATTTAATATAATTGTTACTGGGAAGTGGTATTTCCCACAGGTGACAGGATTTCTGTACCAACAGAGGGCAAGTCCACATAATACCAAATTCAATTCCTAGCATCTAGAAATTTGTCCAGCACTACGTCATTATTTATCAACTCTAAAATGAAAATTGGAGTGCTGACATTCATGAGCAACTGAACTGGGGGTAATACATGGCACAGTGCACCGTGGGGTGCTGCAGAATGGCTTTTGTAAGAGGAAAACCTGAAGGAACAAAAAATATTCCCAAGCTCACTCAGGAATAATGTTCTCCTTCTCTGGGGGTTCCACAATCCTCAAGCAGCAATCTGCAAACTCCACAAAGAGTGGCTCCTGCATGTATTTTTTCATGAGAGAGCTTTTGTCTTCTGCTTGGTCAATGGTCAGCAGCAGCTGCCTGAGGTGTGGGTTCAGCAGCAAACCTCTCAGTTCTTCTGATTCTCCTTTAAAGACAAGGATAAAAGATAATGAGTATCATGTTCACCTGAAGTCCCCACTGTAAAGGATTTGGTTTCTGTTAAGTGATGCAATTCAGCCCTCAAGCCAGAGAAGGCAGAAGCCCTTTCCTCTGTCAGAACCAAATCAGAGGATTAATCCCTGCATCTGCATGAAATCCACAGCAAATCCCACTTTGGAGCAAAATCTATGAGGTCACAGTCTTGTGATAACCAAGCATGGATACAGCACTGATCACAAACTAAATCCTCGCTTTCTGTTTTTATGCATTTCCTCCACCAGCACACGATCTCAAGTCAGTATCAGGGGCAGGGTCCTCCCTAGAGGCAGGGAACAGACTGCCCAGGGCAGCAGGCACAGCCCTGAGCTGCTGGGGCTCACAGGGCGCTGGGACACAGTCGTGACACAGGGTTTGGGCAGTGCTGTGTGGAGCCAGGGCTCGGACACAAAGCTCCCTGTGTGTCCGCTCCGGGTGGGACTATTCCGCGATTCCGCACTGCTCACTACGCGCAGTCGCAAACGACGCCATAACCATCCCTACTTTGCCGGCGCACCCCCAAAGAGGCACCGAGCGGTGGCTGTCAGAGCCATAACGTCCCGCCTGTTCGAGCCTCCCGCCGCCACCCGGCTCACCCAGCAGCCGGAGTTTCTGCAGCGGGACGCGGTCCTGCTCGTCCTCCTCTGTCAGTATGTCGGCCACAGACCACGCGCCGTCCGCAGGAGAGCCGCGCTGCGCCGCCCGTTCCTCCGCCGGCGGTTCCCTCTGCGGCGCGCATTGCTCTGCGATAAGGGACAAGGCCCGTCACGGCCGCTCAGCCCACTGCACCGCGCTGCTCGCTCGCTCGCTCACTCACCTCTGTGCGCCTTGCAGCACGGCACGGAGCAGCTGCGGGATGATAGCCGTCATTAGGCCGGCAGGCCCCTCAGAGAGGCGGCCCGCAGCCCCCGGCCCCTCGGCCCACCGCCCCGCTCCCCCCCGCGCCGCCGCCCCCCCTCCCGCCCGGCGCTCACTATGCGGCAGCGCAGCGCGGACAGCGGTATTTGGCGGCGCCGTCCGCCCCGCACACCGCGCACGGCCGAACCGCCCGCATGGCCGCCCGCAGCGCCCTGCCCCACCCCGCTCAGGCCGTGTAGCAGAGCGCCGAGCGGGGACGGCCGGGAGCGGAACAGCGCCGGTGGGAGGGGGCGGCGGTTCGGGGTGATCGTGCGCGGGTCAGGAGAAAAAAAAACATCGAATCGTTCCGGCTGGAAATCACCGAGTCCATCCCCACCATGATCACTAAGCACGTCCCTAAATGGGGTCACAGAGCTGACCGCGATCTCCCTGAGCTGTGTGGCGTAAAGAAAACAGGAAAGAGGTTTTAAGGCAATGATGTAAAATGCTGGGTACATGGTTTGTTAATGTAACGGCACCCGCCTCCCTGTTACACCAGCGGGCGGCCGTCTCTCACATAAACTCCATTCCTCACAGGCGCTGCACAGCAGCTCCTCTGAACACGATTTAACAGCAGCAGCATTTAACGATGAATGAGTGTCACTTGAGTCTATTGGTCATCGCCTCCAGGTTTGTTACTATGGGCGAGGTGGGAGAACAAACTGGGCCGTTGAGACCCTCCTAGGCAAAATCTCCGTGTCATTCGATGTAAGCATTCATTTAGCCCAGGATCTGACCAGTTAATTAAGCAACAACCATTTCCTCTTCAGAGAGAGGGAAGGAGGGGAGACCTTTTCCTTCTACAAAACACGTGCTCTCGAAGTTTTTATTTCATTTTGCTTTATGCCATGACTACAGTTCTGACAATGAAACCTCCATTGAGGTTTTCTCCTAAATCAAATCAAATGTCAGCGGCCACAGTACACGAGCATGCTGCCGTTCTCAAGCAGGGACACAAAAAGTGTGGTCACAGAGCTCCCACAGAAACACTGCAGATACACCGACAACAGAAAAACTGTGCTGAATGCCCCAATAACTGATTCATCAAATACTAACAGATACGATGTTACATGCTGCAAATGAGAAAGTAACGTTACATTTTCCCCTACACAACTGAACAAAAAAAAAAAAAAAAAAAAAAAAAAAAAAAAAAAAAAGCCACAATCTGAGCAGCAAAGAAAGCACGTCAGAAGCGGATTTCCAAACGCGAAGCAAACACAGCTGACGGGGTGTGATTCGTTCCCAAGCGGCGCGCTCCCGTCTCCCATCCGCACAGCAGCGCAGCTCGCCGAGGAGCCCCGCGCGGCGCCCCGTCCGCAGCCGGCCCGGAGCTGTCCCCGCCGCGGGTGCTGAAGCGCCGCAGCCGGCGGAGGGCTCGGCCTTCGCTTCGGGGCGCTCCCGCTGCCCTGGAAGCAGAACAGAGTCCACGGAGCACAGGGGCGGCCGCGGTTAGATGTTCGCGATGGTGCAGGCTTGGAGACGTTTGCCAGAAAGGCATTTCAGAGACTTGAGTTTAGCCCCTAGGGTTTTGGTTTTCAGTGTATATATGATGGGATTTCCCAAACAGTTCGTGGTTATCAGCATAGCTGTGCAGTTTCGGAAGATGTAGACGCTTGGATAGAGATCGAGGGGGCACTGGTGGTTTATTGCATCAAAGATGACTCCTGCAAAAAGAGGAGCGTAGGACACCAATGCCAGGAGCCATATAAAAATACTAGTTCTGGCAACCTGGATTTCAGCTGATTTGTAGGTACCGATAGCTTGCCCACACGCTTTCATTCTCAGCTTTCTTTTCCTCAGGATCATAATGATTCTAAGGTAGGTGAACAGAGGAACAATGAAAGCTGCCACAACATTGGGAGTGGTGATGAAGATGAGGTAGTCAACACAAAATGGACTGTAGAGGACTGAGAGATTTTTTCCTGTGTGCAAGCAGTTCCACCCCATCAATGGCAGGCAGCCCAGAAAGAAAGCAAGGACCCAGTTAATTAAAACTACAGCTATGGAATGGTTTCTAGCAACCCTGAACCTTGTCCTAATGCTTTCAGCCACAGCCAGGTAGCGTTCAATTCCAATGCTTACCAAGTTATAGATGGTGGATAAAATAGATGTAGTATATAAGGCATAAGGTGCAAGCATATCCTTGGATCCAAAGATTGTGTCATCAGGTTTGGTGATGAACAGCACTGAAATCCAAAAACCAGAAAAACTTGTGAAGAGATCAGAAAAAGCCAAATTGCAGAAGAGAACAGAGATAGGCTTGTGCAGATCTTTTGTTGCTTTTCTGGTGATGATGGCTGTGCAGTTGAAGATCACAGATGCTATGTTAATGGTCAGCTGAGGGATGCCCAGTGCAAGCACTAAATTACGACTCCAAATTTCCGTATGGTTAGCAGAACAGTTTGAGTATCCATTCATGGTGGAAAATCCTAGATTCAACTGGTAACCATTTGTTTCGAACATCTCCTACTCTGTAAGAGGCTGTACTACTTGAGTGCTACTGTCACCTTGTTTTTCAACCAAAACATGAGTCTTCAAACACAGCTTCTATTGGCACATCATCGTCATGACAGTGGATTAATCTTTAACCACTTGTGTTTTTAAATATTTGGGTTACCAACTCAGAGCACTTCAGTTGCTAGGATAGCTAAAATTGGAAAACACATTTACTACTATAGAATCAATCTGCTTAAAGCAGCCTTTATCAAGAACAAAATTTGGCTCAGGCATTTAGAGATCTCCAATTTTAATCCCTCTAATTGCCCCTACTCAGACCTACACAAGCAATGGACAAAAATGCTGACATTAAGCTGGAGATTCCTTATTTCTGTCACTAACCTAGCCACATAACCTGCAATTCTGTTCTTAGAAATATTACTCTGTAAAATAACGAAAGATCCCTCTTTATATGGACTCCTTCAGTTTTATGTGTTCAATAATCCCTTAACGTACAGTTTTAAATCTTGATTGGAGGACAACAGAATCAAGTTGGTTACTGTCTCTTGCTTACAGTTACAAACCAATGGGACTGATGGTGCCTGTTTTTCTAAATATGGTTAGATCATATCTACAGAACAAACCCCAGCCTAGAAAGCAAAATGGCAAGATCAACAGCAGCACTACAAAAGTGCTCCCAAAAGGGGAGGAGGTTCCACCTTCAAAGTAGCTCTTGTGCTTGGGCCTACAGAAATATCTCAGGAAGTACTGAATGCTGGAGTACTCACAAGTTCTCAGAATACACCTAAAATCATCTGTATTTTCCTTCTCTTGTATAAATCAGAAGTTGATGTAGAAAAATGACAGGCATTTATGCTGATACCATTGCAGAGGGATATTTTGTTTACTTTTTTAAAGACTTGTACCTTAACAAAGCAACAGAACAGTACTGTATCTTTCTCTGTCTTTTTAAACAGAAATGATTTATGGGAACTAAGTTTGAAATACGTGAGACTAGGAAAACCATTCTTCGGACGTACATTTATGCTGTCAGACAGCAGAGGGCACTACTGTAACAATCAGTTTACAGAGGGCAGCACGGCAATTCTGAACGCTGGAGCAGTTGGGGTGAGCAGTGAGTACACCCGTGTGTCATTAGCAATAGAGCAGTGAGCACACCCGTGTGTCATTAGCAATAGAGCAGTGAGCACACCCGTGTGTCATTACAAATAACGTGGATTTTTTTTTTTTTCCTGCCCAGGAGTGGCTGCTTTTGTTCCTTAATGCTTGATGTGGCACACCTCAGGGAGAGCCCATGTTTTATTTGAGACACCTACATATGGAGAGACCTTTCCAACATGTTCTAGCTGTGACTGGCATTCAATTGCAATTGAGCAGTGAGTTTTTGCAAGCTTTCCCTTGGTGAAAGCATCTAAGTGAAGGCATGTTGCTTACAAAGTTAGTCCCAACTAATTTGCAAGGCTCCATGTAAGAGTTTGTTGTTGTTATTGCAGTTGGTTTGCGCTCCTTCCCCACTCTTTATTGGCATTCTAGCAAAAGATTGACTTTTATTAGTAACAGTTTTATACTGTGATATTTACAAAGTAGCTCAGCTAGTGCCTAGTAGCTTTCCACGTTCTGGGCTGTTATCTGTACAGCATGGCAGCAAGTTCAGCTCTCATACTGTAAATCTGTGAACTATCTGATAGCTCTGACAGAATTTACAGGGCAATAAATCTGTGCAAATCTGATTGGCTTAAAAAGGAAAAAAACCTCCTTCCTGTTAAAGTTGACGTTTATGAACATACTAGGGTTGATGTGCAATTAGCACTATAAAATTAATATATATTAGAAATGCTTTGCACAGGTAAGCAAAATATTTCGGATAGTCACTGTGAAATCCTAAGAAAGATTATATAGAAATGAGGGCTGAGAACTGATTCACCACGTCTGCTGATTCATTGATATCCTATGAACTATTCTTCTCAAGTGTCACAGCAAAGCATTCTCTGTGCCATGCCTCGTGCAGATTTGGCAGCCACACCCTTGGTATGAGGTTGCTGCTGAGCAAGGACTCTTATTTCTGTCATCTTCTCAGTGCCAGCACCACAAGTCAGCAGCTCCCTTTAATAACAGCAAATGCAGCAGCAGGTAACGTCCAGCATGGATGGCAGGGGTGGCAGAGGACACCAGATCAATCTGCATGAACTCCCAATCTCTCCCGATTACTTTCTCTGTGACTTTGTGAACTGGAGGGGGGCTGAGGGCTGTGATGGACAGCAGGCTAGCTACAAAGGACATCTTCAAAAATCTTTCAGAAACTACCTAGAAATTGAAAACCTAGAAATAGAAATGCATAGCCATGAAGCTGGGCTCCAAAATGCCCTATTCCTGAAGATGCTACTGTCTCTAGTTTAAGAAGTTGATGTTCAATGATGAAACACTGTATGAAGTCAGAATGTAATTAAAAATAATACTGAGAAATATAAATGGCTCTTAACAAAACATTTTGTAATTTTAATTCCCTGATAGAACTGCATAAAATTAGGATGGAAGACAGTATTATTATGGAAAAAACTTTTTTAGTCCGCTTCAATATAAAGCGAACAAACAAACAAACTCCACAGATCTGTACATCTCAACTCTGATAAAGTCTGACCTCTTGTAAGAATAGGTGAAAAGTAGTTTCAACTGAAAGCAAACACTTTGTGAGGTAGAAGGCGACTGTGTTACCGAACCCGCACGTATAACAATGTCCACTCAAGGTGATTCTTATCACGTATTCTGAGAACTTCATAATCTTATTATACTTACACCCACAACACACCTGTGAGGTGTGTTACAAATTACAAATTTTTTGCATAAGATCACATGAAAGAATGGCACGGAGAGAGGTAAACCTAGGCTAAAACTTCAAACACTGGCTGTGCCTTACTACTAGCAGGCATTTGATTAACATTTACCTCGATTTCACCCTCTCCACTGCTCTTGTCAGTACTGTTTAGTAATTGTTCTTAAATTTCTTTATCTGAATATCCAAACTGCTGTTGTTTTGATTTTGTTGTGAAAGACATGGCATTACTTTATTTTGTGAAAAAGATCCCAGCAGTAGCAATAGCAATAGCATATTTTCTCATTGACACCTCCTAGAATCTATGAGTTTGATAGCAATTAGCCTCAGATAATTCCTGCAGAGAAGATATTACTGAAGATGCTGAAAATGCTGAAGAGAATGAGAAGTGATAAGCCTTGAATTTTTAAGGACCATTCACTTAAAGCAGCCATTCTGGAAAATTTACCTTCACACAACCGAGGTTGTGGTCACAGAAATGCTCAGAACCTGCAAGAACCAATGGTGTTTGGCAGCCCTCAGAATAACAGGTCCCAGCTGAGACATGCCAAAGGAGGTTTCAAAACAGGAAATTAAGTTCCGAAACTGAGACTCTTAGCTCAGCACAGTAACCCCTGGACAACATACACTTCCACTTTAGCACCCTGCAATTGCAACTCTCTTTATGCTGATTATGCCCTGAGAATTCAGTTATACCTGACACTATAGCAGAAAAAGCTGCATCATGTCTCGAAAATGAGAGCTCCATAGCATAACCACAGTACAGCTGATTTGGTCCTACCTTCAAAGTTGCATACTCAAACTGTATGATGTATATATATATATGTATATATGCTTTCTTGGCCCTCACCATGAACACAAAGTGAAGACAATCATCAGGTTTGAATGTTTCAGATGTGTTAAACAGCATTAACTGCAAGACACAAAATAATGGCAATGCAATGCACAACTCCCTCCCTGCTTCTCTTTCACGAGTGAAGTATACAGCATAGTTGTTTCCCTTCCACTTTTTACAAAGACCCTTTGCTTTTATTTCCCATCGCTTTTCTATCGCCCGTCTTCCCTTCCCCATAGTCCTGAGCAACTAGGGATAATAAACTGGTTGGGCTAACGTTTTACCTCTTGTGTTTTGGTCTCACCATGTACATATACTAAAAGAACCTCCTCTCCCTCCTATAAATCGGAGTGAGACAGACTCATGTCAGTCTCACCTACACAAGCCTTAGATCTTCTTTCTAAGTGTACGTTCAGTCCAGCACAAAGAGCTGTGCCACTGTCCTGGTTTTGGACACAGACTGAGCTCCAACCTGCTCTCATCCTGTCCTCTCCGTGCTGCCGGGTACAGAGGAACTGCAATCATTCACCTGGGAGGCCACAAGCAGCTCTAGACTTCCTTTCTGCAGCACATGGTAGGGTCATTTGGCTCAGGCACATGTAAGCTCCATTAGATGTCACGTCAGTCCCTCCGAGTGTCCTGTGAAGCCCTCTTGGTAGTAGCAGGCTAAGGTTGGATCTCACACATTTCATAAGCCAGACTGAGGGAAATAAGTCAAAACCTCTGCAGCTGTACTCCACAACAAGGATACAAATGAAGTGCAATTTTCACTGTTTTTAATGTTCTCTCCTGCTCTTATCTATCCTGTAGCTACAGACACAGCTGCAACTACACTGCCTGAAAAAAAAAAACCTTGAATTTTATGAATCCTGCAAAACATTGGCTCTTTGCTCCTCTGACACGGATCCTTACAGGCATTTAGGTCCAATATCCTGTGACATTTATAGAAAACCCACCTGCACTGCAATTCCTTCAAAAAATGTTCGTGGTGCAAAGATGTCAGAGGGAACTGATAACAAAGTGTCTGGTAAGTTTGGTTAGATAAAAAGATTGTGCCTGCCCTCATTATTTAGACTGCAAACTTCATATGGTTAGGGAATATATTTCACTGAGTTTAAACACACTTTCTAGCACAAATGAACATGACTGCAGTGCAAATTATTACCACTTAAATAATGAGAACCTGGAATCCTGAATTTCAAGAACAACGTTTTTAACCCTTGGATATTTCAGCCCAAATCAGAGTGTTTCTAAGAACTCTCAGCTTCCAGAAAGCTGAACACAAGTAAAGTGAGAAAAACTTTATCACAGAGCTTTGATTAAACTCTCTGACTGAAGACCACCCCCGGGGTATGAAACCAGAGAAGCCCAAGTGTAAAACATCTGATATGTGCCCTTGAAGGCAGGCACCTGACACTGCCATGCTCACAGCCCCGCTCCATTCTACGTGCTCAGCATGCACCTTGCTTAGATAGCTCCACAGAGATTGCTGAACTAGGAAGTTCAAAAATGCAGTGAATTCCCTTATTGTTCTTATCACTGCAGTAGCTATTTATCTTAGCACCATGTGCTAGGCAAATCATTGGCTGTTCGTGCTTTAATCTAATCCAAGACGGAAAAACGCTAACCAGCAAATCTTCATTGTTGGAATGTTATTTATAGCTATCTTTTTTATGAATAAAGTCCTGCTCATAAGTCAGCTGTCAGATTTTCCATTGTTATTACAGCCCTGATCCCATTTGACCCCAATATAACGCCACAGTGGCCTTGCCCTCCACCTGAGAGCCCACAGCTTTTGGTAAAGGCATAAAGGTCCGCAGTGATCAGTCAACATAACGCCACACCACAACCTTTTTACACTCCTTCCTGGAGAGGCACTGAGTCAAGCGTCCTGCTCTCCTTGCACCCAACCCAGGATTTGGGTTGCACACCCATGGAGAGAGAAGCATTTGGAAGAATGGGAGAATTTGCATTCCCTGATTTGTTTTCCTCCTCAGCTGTGCCGAAATCCAGTCCCAAATGAAAATTAGAAAATGTGTGTATAACAGAAACTGCAGAACGTAGCAGTGCCACTCTTGTGTACACACCTTTGTTTGCTGAACATAAAGACTGAATTGCACTGAATCAGACACTTGGAATTAAAGCATTCAGATAGGAAAAGAGGACAGAAAAAAAAAATACTACATATAGTATAACAGAGTACTTATGGCATGTAATGTTTATATAGTACATACATGTATAGTACATATATATACACACACACATATATAAAAGAACATTAAGAAAAAGTATGCAAAGGAAAAAAGAAGCATGGTCTCTATTAATCCACTAAATGCAAAATCAATGTAAGGAAAGTGCTGGCATGCCACCTACTAAACCTTTCCTGTTACTGCACACAGAAATCCCATCCTGCAGTGTCACCAACCTGCTGTTTGAAGGGTTGCTGTGTGCTGTTGGAGTGGGGGTGATTTTTTTGACACAGGGCTCTAACATTAATGCATACATTCACAATTACTCTGAAAGTCACGTGTCTGTCAGAGAAAAACAGAAATGTAACACTCAGTAATAGGTTACTAGATGTGCACAGGTTGCAAAGTCTTAGCTATTCACTGCAGGATACTTGTTCAGTGTTAGAAAACTGTATTCCTTTTGCCATTCATTTTGGAGAAATGAATTTAGGCAGACCGTGAGTAGAGTAAATCTGGGGAAATTACAAGGGGGAGGAGTTCACCTTCCTGGCTATGGCTTTCAGGTCTGTCCAGGACTACTTACTCCAGTATAAAACTGAGAGCAGAAATATGATCACATACTAAGAAGTCTAATCAATTCTGGTTTCAACACTGAGCCTATTTAAAATAGATAATGGAATTGCTGTTCCTTGTTCTGTTCTCTCTGCACATTCTCAAGACAGAGGTAGTAGGTAAGTCCTTCTCTGTTATTTCTAACCCCATATACCAAGGTTATTCTTATTTGTTATTTGTTTCTGAGCATTGGAGCTTACAGGGCAAACTCTCTACTTCTTCTATATGAAAAAATGAATGTTTTGTCTATTTCTCTGCCTTTTTCATTTGTGGGAAAATATCAAATACAGGTTTCTCTCATGAATAATGAGTGTTGATTTTTTTTCACCTTTAGAAATTCTAGTTACCTTCCTCCTCCAAGAAAAATCACTGGGGTTTGGCTTGATCTCTGTGGTTATTTGTACGTATATGCAAAAAATTAACAAACAAGTAAAATAATGTATTTCTTAAAACTTCAAATGGCTTATTTTAGATTTCTACTCATATTGCTTTGTCATTTATAAGATCAAATTCTTATAGTTGCCTACTGAGAAGGAGCAATATGTCTTTTGCTGCATTAGCCCAGCAGATCCATCTATTTTTGCACTCTATGCACTATGTACGTAAGTGCACTGTGCACTTACAATGACTAGATTAAATAGCAATCTATAATTAGTATTGAAAAAAGGAGATATTTTTATGCTTCTATTAAATCAGCAGCACTATAACATTGAATAAATACCCTTTCCTATGTAAATATCAGCACACAGTCTCAAAATTAAAAATAAACACTGCAGTCCTTAATATAATGAAGGGTCTATTGTTTGCACTAAAATAGACAGGACTGCATTAAGGGAAAAAAAAAGATACAGTATTATCAGAGGTATCAGAGGGAAGCACTGCACCAACAGCCCATTAAAGGGACCTGGTTTTAAAGCAGCTCAAGATTCAGTTTCCAGACTTAAAGTAACAGAGGGTTCAGGTACTCAGATACAGCCTTAAGCACTGCATAAGCACTGGGGTAATGATGGTGTTCCTCACATTTTATTTCTTTGTTCTAAATGCTCCATAACCAGTAGCTTGCCTTTTCCAGATCCATACCTCACAGTTCTCTCTTCTTCAGTCTGTATTTTGTAGCTCTTCTGTCTCCAGAGGCTTCCAAATGTAGTACAGGTACAAAACAGCAAAAAGAACCTTTGCTCTTCCAAAGTCTACAACTATTTGCTTGATAGAAATCTATAACTAATTAATTAATATTTTGCTAAATTTACTGTTCTTTTAAGGCATTTATTACAGAAGACCACTTAGAAAACCCATATAGGTATTGTTAAATTAACACTAGCAATTAGTATTTTAACAGAAAGAATCAATACAGGGAATGCATGTAATACATTTTGTTCTTTTTTTCCCCACAAACTGTTACAATTTCCATTTCTTTTCTGAGTGTAGAATTAATGGCACAGACATTAATGCTCAAGAAACTTGCTGTCTTCTCACCTTCCTTTCCAAATCTTTTCATGAGGTAGAAGCTTCACAAAGTACATTACATGCTACCTTAAAGGCTGGACATTTTAAGAAGCTATGACTTTTGAGCATCTGCCTAAATAATATTTTCCTGTATCTTTTTCTTTTTCCTGCTCTTGTCACTTTTCAGAACTACCTTGAGACTTACCCCCTTATCAATACATTTAACATGCCTGTTCCAGGCTGTTTCCTTACTACAGGCAGCTTCAATACTCACCACACTTACATAGCCAATGTTAATTGCTGCTCGTATGTTAAGTTGCTTCAAACTTGACCTCTCTTGGTATCTTAGCATAGAACTTACTTTTTAAAAATATGTATGTTGCTAACAGCCCTCTGTGACTTCACACAGAAGCAAATCGTCCCAGAGATCAATGACCCTCTGGAACTGCTATTAGATGAATAGAAGTGAAGCAAAGTATCTGCAATGTTACATCAGAAACTTTCCAAACTTTTTGAGAGAGAGCTTTTATGAAAGATACATTCAGTCTAGTGCCATTCGGAGGACAACAATTGTAGTGGAGAGTAAAATATTTCCACCTAGAAGTTTGGTATTGGTGTTAGAGCCAGCTTCACACATCACTGAAAAATAAACTTCTTTAAGAGGAATGGCTGACATTATCTCCAACAAGTTACCTTGGCAGTCTCAGCACAGACAGACTTTTGCACTCAAGTTATGATTGTTACACAAGATATGTTTCTTAGGGCTTCCTTCTCTCCTTTTTTTTCATAGAATCATTCAAGCTGCTGAAATATTATTGGTGCCTTATCTGTGAATATTTACCATAGTCCATATTTATCAGCATATGCCGTGTCAGATCCATTGTACGCAAGAAGAAGAGGTCACATTTTGCAAGTTGCTGAATGTGCACTCAGAGCAGGAGACGCCCACTGATAGCACTCTGCACTCCGACTGTCTGCACAGCTAGATCAACTGTACCAGCAACCTTCAGAAGGCAGAGGTTTTTCTAGCTCTGCCATTGTGATTAACCAGTAATAGCGCCAAGAGCTCAATATCTTCAAAACTGAAAATTCTACTAACAAACTTTTCCATTAAATATAGGGTTAATTACATTTTAGCTCTATAAAAGGGACTGTTGCTGCCAACAGAGGTGCAGCTCAGGATATGATGAGCCACTGCCATACTCATTGTGGGTTTCATATTTCGGTTATAACTGAAGGAGTTCTATGAATGTGAGAAGAATGGATACAGGATGACTAAGGATGCAAATCCTCTAGTCTCAGAGTGCACTTCTTTCCTTCTACAGCTTATGATAAAGGTGCAAAGAGGTATGGCATTGTAACAACTGCTTTCTCATTCTCTCAGCAGAAGACAGAAAAGCACTTATGCTAGAGCAGCAGATGAGATAGAGTGGCTCTTCATTTAGCTGTAACAGCCTGTTTTATTTTGGGGAGACAGGGAACCAAGCTCAGCAGGCAATGAAACAACACTGCACATTGCTGGAGGGCTCCTGAAAGGCAGCTAAAAGGCATTAGAGCTGTGTATGGAATGAAATTTGAAATGCTTTTACCTTTGTTCATTTCTGTAGCGAGCCTGCTATAGTATCCAAACACATCCACATTACACATAGGAATCAATCATGTCAGAACAGGAATGCTTTGATTCTCGTCACGTTAGTCGATGTGTGAAGTTGTTGAAGAGCATGCACTGTTTAGTCACATCTTGTAATTTAAATTCATCTGCAGATCCTGACTTTCACTTTAAGAATTACACCAGTAAGTTTATAAGATCACCTCTGCTGGCTCTGCTGCACATAAAACCAAAACCTGCCCCTTCACCCTGAACTGCTGAGCAGCCATTGCATGTAGCATGTAGCTCTGAATGACTGCCCAGGTGACATGAATTGTGCTTTGTTGTATTTGTGTTGTGCCTAAGACAGTAGGAGTTGATGCTCTTGAGCAGACAGATGTTTTACTACGTTGGTGCATCCAAGGGCATCACAGCTCCAAGTTCAAAAACCATTGGTCGGCAGATAGCAGCCTGTTTCTGGTGACATGTAACGAGTGGGCAGCTTTCTGTACGCACACTGCACCCAGTCGCATCATCAAAGCTCAATTTAAAGATCACCTTGTGAGAACACCACATTGTTATCAATTTGTACAAACTCACTGTTCAGCTGATCCTCACACAAAATTGCAATGTGCAGCATCACCTCATCCTTCTCAGCATTCAAGCCAGGTACGTTCATGCTGCCATTCACTTCAGTTCTGTGGGAAAGAAAGGAGCATTACAGAAAATGTACACAGGAGGTATTCATAGGTGACAAGTAACGTTACTTCAGCTTATAAATTATTTTTCTTTCTCCTACAGCAAAAAGCATTGGATTAACATTTACATGATGCACGTTGTGCAGCGGTACTTAAAACTGGAATCATGACTTGTCATAAATTTTACAGTTGGATTTTGAAAACTGGAAGCAGATAAGCACTTTCATAGCTTCCTCTTAGCTGTTCAAACAACCAGCATAAACCTCAAGGTCTTCAAGGCATAATGTGAGGCTCAGTTCTTCATCTCTATGTCCATCTCCATACAAATATATTTTTTCCCCTCAGTTTGTGGCACTGTAGGTGATGCTTTGTTAACAGGGTGCAGAGCACATGGAACGGTCAGTGGTTAGTTACTAACACCTAGCTGCAGGAACAGTCAACAGAAATCCAGCATAGAACATTAGAGGAAGGGCTGTAAAACCAGATAGCAATTTGTTTGAATTAAATTTTTAAAATACTCAAGAAGATACTGCTTGAATTTTATTTGGCACTGCTCTGTTTAAACAAAGCAAAGCAAATTTCTCCACAGAAGCTATCACCTTAGCCCTGGATACTCTATTCTTGCTAAAAGTCAGCTTCCTTTTTTGATATAGGAGATCTATGAGGATATACATGTATGAAAGAAGTTACAACAGTATCACAGGTCAGAGCTAAAATTATCTTCCTTGCTATGTGACACAAAGGAAGCCATTTACAAGTATTTATAAAGTAAACTTAGAACCTCTCAATCTCTATAATCCTCTTTAGCTTATATGCATTGCAGAGTAAGACATCATTGAGCACGTGATTTATGTACACATGTGCAAGTTGTAAATGCCATGCTCAAATCAGATGCAGTCCCCTCATTACCATACTAAAGTTTATCTTTGAGCCTAAGTCCCTGTAATGGACTGGAAAGCAACACCTACACACATACATAAACACGCATAACATTATGAAAAATACAACTTCCAAGTAAAAATGAATAGAAGAGAGATGAACGATTACTAGCATTTGTTTTAATAACGCTAGAGATAGATGTAAACATTTGGAACTGATTTTGCCTGTCAGAGTGGTTGATGAGAACTTCCTGAGAATGAGTAATACCTAAAAACATACACAAAGACAGATACATACATGCTTAGTTTGTGTTTAGCAAGTCATTAATTAGAAAGACAGACTTAGATTCCGCTTGCACTTAAGTTGCTTGCTCTTTTGTACTAAAGATAATACGTTTCTCAAAGCCAGCTAAAAATACTCCTGTCCCAACACAAACCAAAGCTAAAAATACACCGAGTGCAAAACCAGCACTCGTAATTTCATAGAAAAGGCCAGCCTTCCCTCGGCTGCACGGACCTGACTCAGGCGGCCACCCCGCAGCCAGGGGAGCTGCGGCACTGAAGGCAGCCCGGGCTCCCTGCGAGGCAGGAGCGCTATCAGCTGAGCATCTCGGGAACAAGGGGTTGTCAGAGGACACGGCTGAAAGAGGGTGACGAGATCTTAAGGGGCAAACAAAGGAGCCAGTCAGTGAAAGAGAGAGAGGAGGGATTACAAAGAGCGACAGAAGTATTCTTACTGCCTCGGTACTTCGGCTGTTAGCGGCATGAAGGTTATTTCAAGAGATGAAGTATGTTTCGTAGAAACAGCTGGCAGTCAGACGATTATTAAATTGCCAAGCACTTTATTCAAAGGTTAAAAATGGTTTAATTAACTTTCTTCTGGAGACGGGCAAATTAAGAGAGCAATTTTCAGCTAACCAGCCTCCCTGCAGTCAGAGATGCAGGCTTCCAAGCAGGTCCAGGCGGGGCAGTAAGTGGGAACAAGCAGGACAAAGTAGGGAACTTTGATGGAATTCAGGCAGTCTGACCATTGTCCAAAGAGCTGAAGGGTCTTTTCCTACATCACACAATGGCACATTAGCAACTGCTGACGTTCTGGCTTCCAGCCAGAAGCACTGTCCTCTTCCATCCAGCTGCGTAAGTGAACAGAAGAGGGAGTTCTCAACTGAAGGAATTTTTGCCTCTGGCTTCCAAACTAGGCTTGATAGCTAAAACAATTGAAAACATTTACAATAAAATGAAAACAATGCGTAATTGTATTGTTTTGCAGCTGTTTTGGTGCCAAGAAACAGCTTTGGTCAGGAAATCAGTTGTAAATTTGACAAGGAAGAAGCAGAGATAAGTAGGGCTGCTTACTTGCCAAGACAGACTCCCTAAATTTAACTGCCTGTGAAAGAAGAGGAGGCCTTCAGCCCAGTTCAGCCCTGCTGTAAAGTAAAACTCAGTGAAGTCAGGGTAACAACTCTTATACGGTGCATTGTAACATAAGTTGAGAGTCCATAATGCAGCGTAAGAGCCAGAACTGGATGACGACACAGCAAGTTTAAGTCCAAGTGCACAGGTGAGCGTGAGTATGTACACTGTCATGGTACTGCCAAAGGCAACAGCAGCACTGTCTCAAGTTAATGTCAGTAATACAAGGAGCTGTTGGAAATCCTGGTTAGTATCTAATGCTGTCCTAAGCATGGATGCTCATGGCTTAACTCACAAGCTAATGAAATCTATGAGAATGATCTGCGACATCCTGCAGCGCCGCTGATATTACAGCAATGGTTTCAGCACCTCAATTGCAAAATCAAAAACAAAGCCCCCACAAAATATCCTCTGTATTGTTCCAGGTAATAAGGTAAACAACATGAAAGAAAACAGGGGAGCTGAGGTTTGGGCGGAACAGGAGTGGGGTCAGAGGAATGTCAGAAAGAAGCTTCAGAGAAAGAGAGCGGGACAGACTCTGAAGCAGAAAGGTGAAGGGCAGGTTGTCATGGGATGGGACAAAGGATGGATGCAGCAAGGGCAGGAATTGCAGATTATGAAGGAGCTATCTGAACGTTGTAAACACCAGGGAGGGAAAAGAATTGTTTAGGGTGGTTCAATGATATTTCTAGGAGTGATGGGATGCAGATAAGCAAGTGGAAAATGTAAGCTTTTAAACAGGAAACATTTCCTGACAGTGAATTCTAATAGACTGTGGAAAAGTCTCCTGCAGGAAGTGGCAGGAGCCACCTAGACAATCAAAACTAGACTAGACAACATACCTTAGGGCATAATCATACCTCAGAGCACAGACAACAGACCGAATGTGACAAGTATCTTTCCTATTTGCTTCAGAAACAAAGTCCAGGGGGAAAGAAGGACCATTGTAAATGCAAGGCCCAAAGACGTAGGGAAGAACCACCTCTGATTCAAAGAAAATCCAAGTACAAATGTTCCTTGTAAGTGACACGGAGTACGGCAGTAAGGCCTTTCCTGAGCTGTATCTATGCAAACATCCCGTTATCTAATGGCGCATTATTGCCAATGTCTCATTCACAAGAAACATTAATTCATTGTTCACTGCGTTCCACAGTGTTTAATTAGCTCATTGTTTATGGTTTAACAGCTTTAAGGGCCTTTTTCCTATGAATTGTTGAATTGATATTCTGTTCTATTTCCCTGATGCAATCCGGCTTTCTAAACCACAGCTGTGAGAACTACGTGACAGAAGAAGACTTGTTAGTTTGTAGAGGTTATGAGTTTTGTGGAAAGCCTGCAACAGTTAGATACTGGTTGTTTGGTGTAGGTTTCATTCAACAGGAGTAAGGAGAATTCTCGTGGGTGCTGCATGTGAGGCATCAGATCACTGGTGGGCTGGATTTATTTTCTTTTTCTCTGCAATTTGTTGTGCGGGTTGAGATTCTTAGTGTCTGTGTGCCAGTCCACTAAGATGTGGCTGAAACTCGCAAGCGTATCTGAGAGAACCTGCCAAATTCCTGCCAGCTGGCAGTAAGTTTGGTGGTCACTGCACTTGAGAGGGGTTGGACTCAGTCCCAGCAATGAAGGGCTCCACTGCTTACCCCATTTCACTCCTCTGAAACAGAGGCACAGGATTAGGAGCACTGATGATACCATGTGATGGCAGTTCCTTTACTCGGTGCTTCCCATGGTGGTCTTTGATTTTCATCCTGCTGTGGTCACAACCCAAAACTCCACAGCCTTGCAGCCAGTGAACAACGCACTCACTGCACTTTCTCCTAGTGGTGAATCGGACTGACCGTAAATTTTCATTTGCACTGCAATGGTGCTGTGATGTCCAAGTCACAATCATGTTCATACAAACCCAGAACAGTAAACTTTGTTTCAAGAATTTACAGTACCTCATATGATCCTGATTTTTCACCCAACAGCTTTCCTCTTTGGTATAACTCACATCCCAAAAAGTCTGAGTCAAGTCTTTGCACACAGCTAGCCCTGCATGCAAACATCCTACTACCTTTAAACATCCGCAACCAGGTCATTCCCACAGTGCACCACCTGAGGGTTTATGTGTATATAACTTGCATAGAAAGCCCACCCCAGTCCAAGTGTGCCGTGCCTGCACACGCAGATGCTTTAACAAGACAGCCACTGAGCCAAAGCAGTCTCTAAAAATGCCTGCAGTCATTTACCTATGCAAACTTTAACCCATTTGAAACATAATCAAGCACTGTGGAGCTTGGCTTACCCACTGTTTGCTCTGCATTTATTGATTAAAATATTGGTTAAGGTGCTCGGTGACATTCTGCACCTGGAATGTTGGGTTCTGCTGTTTCCTATTGGAGATAAGGAATTGCTCAGCACTGCTGAAGGTCTGCCCACTGCCTTGTATACACAGGCCTGAAATAATGCAGCAATCACTTTTAGAAATGGCAGGCTTTAAAGCCAAGCTTTGTAGATGTTTAGAAGTGTGCCAGAAGGTAAAAATTTGATTCAACAAAGTTTTTGATAATTACAAAATATTGAAGGAGTGACAATGTAAAACCACTGCTGTTCTGACAGCATGAATGTCGTATTCCTTGCTTACTTTTTGTCTTAATGTTAATAAACGTTTCTTAACTAGAATGAGCCAACATTATTTGTAGTTTCCAGCATAAATTTAAGTTTTTGTGAGAAATGAACTAAAACAATATCATTTTTTTCAACCTTAAATTCATTGCAACAATGCTCCCTCAAGCTTCCTTCTTATTCTACTGCAGCTGGTTGAGGTTCTACATTTTTCTAACTTTTCCTAAGAACTTAATAGAAAGATGGCACTGTGATGTTATCGATGCCAAGTGTTGAAAGCAGCTAAGAGCCTTCCAGCAGATGTGTCACAAATCATGGTAATTAGCAGTCAAATGACACATGGGATTCCATAACAATTTCTATAAATGGATTAGTCTGATACAAACAACGATTATAAGAGGTTTTGAATTGTTGTTGATCACAGTTAGATAGGCAAAGAGAACTATTTCCATTAAAATCCATTTAAAATTCACTACTGTCATAAATAACCATTGAAACATGGGGCTATAAACAAAAAAAGTCCTTAATTTCCTGAGTAGATGAACTCATAGTTAAATTACATCAGTTCAATTCCTTTGAATTTCACGTTTCTCCTGCTAAAGGAAAAGGCTTTCCACTGAAAAATTCTGCAACCTTCTCTGGGGGATCACAGCTGAATTAGAATGAGGATGCTTCATTTCCTACTAAAAATGAGACCCTTTGTTACTTAAAACTTTTTATTGCACAAGGTATCTTGTGCAGCACTGTGCAAAGAGTGAGGTAAGACATCCTGAGTGAGTTAATTTCCAAGTAAATGAAACAATGACAAGTACAGATAAGACATTATTTACGTTAACACTACATAAATTCAGATTAGAACCTTCCCTTAAGCCAAGGTATCAAAACCACATTGTTTAGAACTGCAACTCATCCACAGGTCTACTATTTCATGCTACCACAGTTTTGTGAAGGAGTATTAACAGGTGTAGACTGATTCATGTAGGACCAGAAGGAGATCTAAAAAGAGGACAGGGTTGCTATAATTTTCACACTGTCTTCTGAAGTATTTGATACTAGAACCAGGATAACCTGGGTGTGCATTCTATATTGCTAAGAAACGTCTAGCAACAAGATATAGGTTTATTTACAAGCAAAGCACTCACCTTTTCTCTGTTGTTATTTACATATATAAAACATGAGATTTCTGATTCTAATAAAATTAAGCAGACCAAGCAGATGTCAAAGCTGCACGGCCAGTCATAACCTCATCACTCCCCAGGGACAGCAAATTCCAAACCCGTTCCACATCTGCTTTTTGGAGGGGCAATTTGTACAGTTTTTCACTCATCTAATTCTGAATGTCTGACCATATTATTTGTTTATTTCTTAGTTGGACAACATTGGTGCTATCTGTCGCAGAAGAACAAAGAGCCAACCTGTGAAGGTACTGCTTAACAATTTGTTTCTCTGGTCACGTTGGTGCTTGGGCCCTTCTGCTTTGCAAAGGGCAGGATGCACACAGCTGCATGTAATGCTGTGTATCACACTACAAGTAACCACAAGTGCTGAATACAGTGCCTAACGAGGGCATTTTAAAAATGTCAGTACTTGCTCTATTCATTTTGTACCACGCAAGGATAAAGCTACAAACACAAAAATACACCGGAGAGATAACCATCCTAGCAAGTCTGGTATAGACAAGCATTTAAATTCTTGAGGACAGAGTTATCAGAAACCCTGATCTTCTTACAGCTGCAGCCTTTCTTTTACCAGCAGTACCCATGCTGGCTGTCTGCTCCATTGCTCAACACTGTGCCCAGTGATGCCCTTCCCAAGCCTGGCTGTGCTGGAAACAGCATTTCAATCCCAACATCCCCATCACCACAACTCTTTTATTTATTTTTATTCTCCAGTCAGCCAGCTAATCACAACAATAGTATAATTTAACTTTACAGCCATGTGTATGTTCTTATTTTCCTATTTCAGTTAACACTGTTGAAGTATATTAACATTTCTTAGAATACAACAACTACACACTAAGAAAACTCCTTTATTAAATTTCCACTACCCAAAGACCTTTCTTTCTTTTTATAAAAAAAGTATTTCCAGATTCCCAAGCAAGAGTGTTTTAGCTGGTGGGTGTTCTGGTTTTATCAAGGATTTCAGTCTACAGAAAAATAATATTTTCTTCGTTTTTAAATAGACCCTCGACGCTGGCATGCAGTAGATGCCAACTGCAAAGGAAGCAAACAGTCACCCATCAATATTGTCACCAAAAATGTCATTTATGACAAGAGCCTGACGCCACTGTATTTTGAAAATTATGATGTGAAAGAGACCTCAAAATGGACAATAGAAAACAACGGACATACAGGCAAGTACTGTCAAATACGTTACGATGGAACTTATTTGCATCTTCACACTGCATCTCCTTTCCCTCCTTCCATGTTCTGAGCAAGCTGTTACCTACCACTGCTTTCACTTAATGGAAAGAAAGAAGCTAGCACACTCCTATTTCAGAAACAAAACTTTCAGAAAACCCGAACCAAGGCTTTGTGGGAACTTTGTTGTCTGATCTCTGGATCCTGAACACAGTCCTTGAGCACCGCAACAGAAATTTGATCAATGTGTCTGCACAGAACTAAGCTTGAGACAGCCAGGGAACCTCTAAGTCAGATAACACCATCTAGAACCAAGAGGCAGGTGGGCACAGGGGTAACAGACTTTGCAGAGGTACGTGACATTTGCTGAATAATCTTACGTCCTTCACTGCTGGGCTTGCCCTCCCTAACACTTGTTCTGTGTAAGGAAGGATTTTGCTGAACAATACAACCTGGGAGACTCATTCAACCCCTGGCGTGCCATGCTGTGTCTTGCTAGTTCTGTAAATAACTAGCAGAAATCCTTTCAGACTTCAATATGGGCTTTATTTTTTCCAAATGAGGAAGTAATACAACGTGGGGCTGTCGATCAGCTCTTTACCGACTCAGTAAACGAGTCTGTGAACAGCAACTCAATAAACCATAATCCCAGGAATAGAAGTTCAACACGGATTGACTTTCTCTTTTCAATCAAGGCAATAGTAATGATGATACTTCAGCCATATTATGCTAACTTACTATTAAAAAATGCAACAAGACATAGTTTATTTTAAAGTTATCCATTGGTATTCTTGAAATCTTAGATGTGTTGTTTTAATGGCTGAATTCTCAGAAGGGGAAGCTGAGGGCTTTTAATAAATTCCTCAGCTAAGATGGAGAGGTAGTACACACACAGCTGGGTAAGTTTTCACCACTGCAGATCCTCATTCAGATCATCAGTGTTTTGACAAACCATAAGAAAAACCCATGATTGATTTTTCACTAATATACAGGTTAATGAATTTCATATTATGACATTTTAGAGTCCATATTACAGTCACTGTGCATAGTAAAGTCTTTTACATAAAAATTAATATTAAAAACAATTGTTCAGAACTGCCATCGTTTTCAAACAAGCAAAAGAATTACAGTTATATCTGGGCTTTCAAAATTTCTTTCCTTTGTGTGCAACCAATTCCTGTGCTGTGAGAACAGCACTGAAACTGCTATTGCTTAAATTGCAGGAGCAATTAAAAGCTCTACATGAGATTAGACTATCATTATGTTCAGTGATGTGCAGACAGTAAAGGTCAGTGCCTCAAAGGTCCTACAACCTAAAGAAACCAAGCCAACAAAGATACATTAACATCCACATAAAGATAAAACAGAAAAGTAACTGAGTGACTCACAGAAGCTTCCAGTTCATCTGGAACTCAGAACTGAAGTGAAATCTCCAGGGCTTTAATCCATCTTCCTCATGGAAAAACAAAAGCACCGGCTTTCACGTAGAGACGCTCACAAGCCGTATTTCCAAGCACACACTGGATGTCTCAGGCACACAGCATGCTTTACACAGGCGATGGCCACTTACAGATAGAAAATATCTTTTCTGGGGTAATTTTATTTTGCTATTTAGCAGAGAATTGATCCTCACATTGAATAGATAAAATGATTTAATGCTTTGTCTTAAGTAGTAGCACCAATCTAAATTAAAGCAGAATCAGGTCCAATTTAAATAATAGCGTCTAAAATAAACGTTACAGTGCAGACAAGTTTGTGCACGTGGACAGGGGGCACTGTGAAGAAGTACAGGATCGACCAAATGAGACGTGCACCTCGAGTCCCTGGGTTGTAATGGCAGTGAACCATCCGCTACTCAAACAAGAAAAGACAATCTATTACCCTGCTTTCTTCAAAATGCAACAGATAACTCTCTGAAGGATAAACAACTGAAAGCCATAGAAGTCTATAAAACACTTTCCCAGAGTAGTCTATAGCAGCATTTATCAAATTTGTTTTCTTACATCTGCAGATGAAGTCATGAGTAACTCAGTTCTCTAGCAATTAAGAGGATAAACAAGTAATTCAGAACAAATCCCAGCTAGAAAAGGGAGCAGGAGCTCCAGGTGCAGTGCCATAGGTGAGGAACACCCAAATGCTGTTTCATATTACCAGAAAGTGGGCTGTGATATTCCACCTTTTCATCTCCAATCTGTCTCAGCAAGCATGTTTTAAGAATTCAGATTCTGAAGAATTGAATTTGTGGAACACTTGGTATGAAAAATCAAACCTGAACTTCAGGGTAAATTTCAATCTCTCTGGTGTATTAATGTATGATGTGAACATTTTAGAAACTATTTACTCATTTTCCCCAGTTAAGGTAACACTGAGCATGCACCCTAAAATTGAAGGCGGAGGTCTGAAGAGAAGATACAAGGCGGTAGAATTCCATCTGCACTGGGGAGTCCAAGAGGAACAGCTCTACTTTCCTGGGTCAGAACACAGCATAGATGGTGAAAAACAAGCTATGGAGGTAGGTGGGACACCCAGTAGATTTGGGCCATAATTAAAATACTTTGTATTTTTATGACACTGTGAGAGAAAAAGTATTGGGCAGTTTTCCTATGAATCACCAACAAGTGGAAATAAAGAATGTGGGACACATTGCTCACTAATCAGAACACTAAGGAAAACATGCTGAATTTACGTAACAAGGGCACAGTTTTGATAGCAAATCTGGAGTTACGCAGCTTTTAGGGAGAACTATCTCCAAGTCTGCATAGTCTGATTACACTCATATGTTTATTCAGACTATGTATTCCATTCCTGGACTGCAACAGTGAACTAATCGCTTTACCTGAGAAAAATAAAAGTCTCTCCAAGTCAAGGCAAGTTGCCAGTGCTGGTGTGCATGGGTTGGTGGAAGGACATCACCACCCACTGTCAAACAGAGTAAAAGTTCAACTGTTCCACTGCACAGCCTGAAAATGGAGGGTTGCTGCAGTCCACAGAGCACTTATGTTCTGGTACATGGGTGGGGAAGCAGCTCTTGCTCTACTAAAGCCAAAGTGCAGAGAAACAGCCAGACTACACTTAAAACTAACTGCAGAGGAAAGCAATCACATCATTGGCCTTAACTTTTAACTTAGCTGTTTTGTTACAGCTTCATATTGTCCACATAAGAGAAGATGCTTTGGATTTAACAGATGCAAAGCACTATGCAGATGGTATAGCTGTGCTAGCATTCTTTATAAAGGTAGGTGGCCAAATTCTAATTCTTTCTCTCCAATCTAATAGCAAGTTGGCCATGTACCACGATGTCAATATTACATTATTCCAAGACCTAAACCTTCCTAAAATTCTATGGACATGCAATGCCAGAGCGTGGTTCCTTTATCCTTTTCTATATTCCACTTGCTGCTGTTACCTTTGTGAATCTTGACTGCCACATTCACAATTCATTTAAAATAACCACTTGCTGAGGAATATATGATCTGGAATAAAAATGTTTCCATTTCAGATTGATGGAGAAAATAAAAACTATACAACTCTAATAAGTGAATTAGATAATATTCTACAGAAAGGTAAGAAACTTGGCTTGTTTGATACACACATCTATTTAACTTTGAGCATATATTCTACACGGCAATTCAAGGTCCAATCCCATCCTGGTTATAGTAGAGGTTGTTACTGAAAATTCACAGGCAAAGAATAAAGGTTGGTTTGTCAAGAACTCAGAGCATTGGAGGTGGGAGAAAATCTAGTTCTCGATATTTGCAGGTGAAGAACGCCTAAGCACCAGAATGAGTATTTCTGTTTCTGCAGAACAAAGCAAAGTGAGAAGAAAAGCATGCAGAAGAACGTTTTAACAAAAAAACAAATGTTTTTTATAATGAGAGGTGTTCATATTTTGAGTTCTGTGGGATTTTGCAGGCAGTGGTCATAGATTTCACAAGCAATGCACTGCAGCTGTGCCAGCAAGCCTGGGGAGAGCACTTGGGGACAAGAACTTACACATGCATTAGCTGCAGGTGCATTTGAAGACATGTATGAACAACACCTTCAGCTGTGCTTGTTAAAAACAGCATTTCTGCCTGGTTTGCCTAGACACGTCATCACAGATGGAGCCGTTGCCGCTGAATTCTCTTCTCCCACCGACATATGAACTTGAAAAGTACTATCGGTACGAGGGCTCCCTCACCACTCCTGACTGCCACGAGACGGTCATCTGGACAGTGTTTGAGAAGCCAATTCAACTCAGTTTATGGCAGGTGAGTCTCAGAGGGATGCTCTGAAAGATCTGCTTCCCGTGATTTTCCTGCTTGCCTGCTCACTCGCATGAGTTAACCCAGGCCTGTTAGTTGCTCCACTGCTTATGGAATCACAGAACAGAACAACAAAGAATGTTCCCAGTTGGAAGGGACCAGCTCCATGAGCTCTGGCAGCTCGGGGCTGTGCCCCTGCCCTGGGGAGCCTGCCGTGCCCACCGCTGTCTGGTGTAAAAAAGTTTCCAAGGTTTTGTTGCTATGACAAACAGACACATGTCAGCATTAGGTTAAATCCATACACACTCCTAATGCCAGATTTGACAGCATCACTTAATAGCTCTCTTAAATCAACTCTCAAAAAAGAAGAACAGGAGACCAAGTCACAACTGTCTCTAAAATGCATGCTGCTCAGCTGACAGACTGTATGATTAAAACAATCAAGATGTCCTGGAATGGAATCTCAGCAATACTAGTTGGGCAAGACTCAGCACCTTCATTTTTGTTTGTTATTTGCAGTGTACTCAATCATTTTACTCAAAGAGCAAGGCTCGGCCTCAATACTCACTCACATCTCACTCCTGCGCCAGTTTCTAAGCAAACAAAGGAGTCACATAAACCTAATCCTCTTACGTTGTATCCCTGTGATGTGACAGACAAGGACAGAACGTGTGTGTCACAAGGTCTGATCTAACCAAGTCCTTGGGCTGGACAAAAAGCATTCAGCTCACACAGGAAGCCCATGTGATTTCCGACTCTGAAATCAGTGGGTCACCTCCGGCAGCAGCCTCCAGCACAGTGTTTCCTGTAAGGTTCAGCACATCCATATAGATCAAAACAACGCCTCAGAATAAGGCACTGCGGCTATTAGAGCTTATCATTCCCAGTGTTCCACAAAAAAAAAAAAAAAAAAAAGGATTTTACAATTTTCTTTTTCCAATGTCTGCAGGTTTCCCAGTTCTCATCAGTTCACTTCGGAGGGACGAACTCAACGCTCATGTCTGAAAACTTTCGGCCTGCTCAGTTTCTGAATGGTCGATATGTGTACTGGTCCGGTGCCAGCAGCCTCCTGCCTCCTGCTCATGTTTTAATGTTGGCTCTGATCCTTCTATACCTCCTGAATTCTCTCTTCCAATGAATAATTCTCACCTCATTCAAGGTTCTGGGCTTTTATTCTGTTTTGGTTTTGTATCAAGTATTCCCTCTAACCACTGACTCCTTAATTATATCTGAATACAGAATATTCTCTCCTCCTCCTTCGTACATTAACCAACAATTTCTGTTGCTGCTCCTATATAAAATGAATTCATGGCCTAAATTACAAAAATCCTAAAGAACTGTAAGATTAAACTACAAAGATTCTCATTTTAAAAACACTTAAAGAAAACATTAGGATGGATTATCAGCAATCCTGTGGTTTTAACACAACAGTGGAAGGACACTTGATAAGTTATACGGAGGACTTTCAGGAGGAATCTCTTCTTAAGTGCCTGTGAGGGTGTTTTTTTTCTGGAGTATGTTTACATTCAACACTGCGAGTCAGGAAGGAACGCCTGGAGGAATTCTTGTTATGCCTACATTGTCCTATATGAAGGTAAAATACAGAGCATAGAGATGCTTACAGAATTGAACAACTTGTGTTTGGAGCACAAGACTTCCAAGATCCTTCACAGTTTTCATTTCTATAACAAAATGGAACAGTTCAAGAAATGGCTCTTTCCAGTATCACTTTTTTAGAAACATTTAAATTTCAATTTGAACATCTCAGAGAGAATATTCCCACTATTATTTAAAGCATAACATACCTTCAAAATATTCATGTATGGCTAACATTCATAGTTTCAGTCAGAAGATTTCAATTTGAATTGGTTTCTTCAGCTCTTACCCAGTTACATTCAGGAACACTCAACATACTGGAGAATGGGATTTCCTTGCACTGTTCCAGCTCTCTTTCTGAAGACAGACAGAACTGACTGCTTTCTTCAGCTAGTGCCATACGCATTGCAGCTGCTTTGAGCATTTTAGATTTTGGCCATCCCAGGATAACATTTCATTCCAGAGGATGACTACTTTCTTTAGGGCAATGTTTGCAAGGAAGTCTCTACGTTACAGCTACACAGTCATTTTCAGGATGATATGACAGTGTGACTAACTGCAGGTCACCAAAGGAGAAAAGTCATTTTCATATTTAATAATTAATAATATGAGCTTAAAAAAAACCATGGGAAAGCAGATTTACCTTGTTATGTTTAGAAGAATGGTTAGGACTTTAACTGTATTTTTAAGTAACAGAAAATCTTTGGAGAAGCAAACAAAAAAGAAAGATTAAAACTGAACATACTGTATATTCTTTGGATTGAGTTTTTATTTATTTTATCTTTGCTGAAGAAAAACCCATGCGACATTCATTAAGAAAAGGAATATGCTTCTTTTTCTGTTCTCTTCACAAGTTTTAGGGTTGGGTTTGCTTTTTCTCAGGGTGGTTTGAGGGAAGGGGAGGAGCTGTACTACACTGAGACATTTCTGATGTCAACAGGCTCCAGGAGCTTTTACTTCAGCTTGGCCATCAAAGTATCACTTGTCCCCCAACAAAATAGCTTTGAGTACAGTACCTTGCTCACCAGACCTAGTGACCACTTCCAGCTCATTAGGTAGAGGCCATGCAGGCTTCTTACAAGACAACAAATAGTACCATGGATCTACCCAGTATAACCACCCATGCAGCCAGGAGAAATGCACCTCTCTCTTTTGCTCATAACTATTTTCATTACATTTCTCAATATTCTGCAAGTAGAGAACATGTCAAGAAATGATCATACTAGTCCTATCCTCAAAGACAAATGCAACCTAAGTAATTTCACTTCAGCAGGTGCCACGAACATGGCTTATTCAATGTGCAGAACTGTGTTTCAAGCAATGGCAGTGCATTCTGGACAATATACTCTTCTTGACAACATTTTTTATTTTTCCTCACATTTTTGGTGTAAGACACATAGGTGTAGTACGCTTTTTTTTTTTTTTTTCATAGAAATTAAAGCATGGAGACTTCACACTTTTCCATTTTTGCAGATTATCGGTCCTCTCTAACTATGGGCTCCCTGACAACAGCTCCATGTCCCCATGCCTAGACTTATCAGACATTAATGCACACCTGCTTATTTCCAGCTGTTACAGCTGGTCACAATTACAGAAATCTTTAAGCTGTCCCAAGCCTCACCAAGCTCCATAAGTTTAACTCAATTTGTGAACTTCATGGAAGTTGTTAGAATGCATGCAACACAAACAGCAGAGGGCCATGGGAGCTACAGTCTGTATCTGTGTTAGTGATCTAGTTCAATTTGTTCTTTGTTAGAGGCTCCTCGGCAACCAAGTGGACACATGCTGTTCTGGTGCTGAGTATGACAACAACAGGACTAGCATTAATGCCGTAAATCAATACAAATCTATAGCAACAGCCATTCAGTCAAAAACATTAAAAGACAGAAAGGTTTCAAGTGGAACATTTGGCTTTCTTTTGTGATAGTCCTTACGGAGAAGTAATTGTTATTCACAGGTAGCTTCAGGGACAGATTTTCAAGAATTGTATCCACATGAATTTTAGTAGGAAATCTCTCCCAAGAAAACAGGAAACTACAGAAACTCCTAAAGAACTAATAGCTGACTTGTGATGCTATAGGAGAGAATTGAGGAATATTAAAAACAAAACAAAACAAGAAATAGTGTTTTCCTACTTAGAGGCTAACACAAAACTTTGTTAATGCATTTTACATACACTGGAACCAGGGTTAAAGACCATTATATCCCAATGTTTAGTCACATAAACTAATAGAAAATGAAACAACGCTAGAAACTAAAGTTCTCTAGAGGGGTATATTTTAGGTTTAAAGCAACACAGATAGCAGTGGCTTTGACATTCATGACTATCATTTGGATTTCAGAAAGCAGTATATGAACAGCATGTGTGTTCAAAATGGCAGATTCCTCTCACAAAAGAGTTTGGAAGATTATTTTGGGAGATTACCACAAGATTGGAAATAGCTAATGAGAACTCCATCCTTCAGAGGCAGTAGATTTGGGTACAGGGTTTACCTGTGATGGCTGCCAGGAAAGAGCCAATTCACTGTAAGGCTGAGCAGTAGGAATACAGCACACTTCAGTGGGTCTTGTCCATGTCTAAAAGCCCAAAGTGCTCCTTCTCCAGCCTAGGATCAGACTGATCTGAGTACACGCTTTTAGTGGCTGAGAGATGGAGAAACAGATCTGCACCAGAAAAGCAGCCCAGCTTCACACCCACCTGACAACCAGCGTGGAGAGGGAGGCACTGACAGAGAATCCCCAGGCTGCACGTTTCACAGAGCCCCAGGCTGGGGCTGAGGGCTGGGCATGGCACTGCGGCAGTGCTGGGCTGCAGCACCTGCTGTTGCCAGAGCTGGAACCAAAAGCAAGGGCTGCAGCAAGCCCTGCTGCTTGTAGATAACCTGAAGGAAAAATGGTGGAGGAAAAGAAAAATAAAGGAAACATTCTCTCAGGACAGCCGGGTGTTGGGCAAAGCAGAGACACCCACAGCTCCCACCACTGCTGGCGGCCATTTTCTGAGGGCCTTTCCAGGCTGAGGGGAGGCCCCAGTCTGTCCCCTCAGATCACAAAAGTACCACAGCTTCCCCGCCTTGCTGCCTTGCCACCCCAGGTTGTACAAACGTGATGGCAAACAACAAGCTGCAAGAGGATTTCCTCCACTGAGAACTGCTTTGGGCTGGCAGGAATGGACGGCCCTCGGTACACAGGGGACATTTCCAAAGCACTTCCACTTGGCAGCACTCTGAGGCCACGTGTGCCAGTGCCCATCGCCATGGACTTACAGGCACATATTTGCAAGATGTGCTGAGCACTAGGGCTGCTGCGTTAGCACCAGTCACTGCCAGCAACCCAAACCATGCAGACAAGAGTCCTCCCCAACTGCATGAGTAAATCGAGCTGCCTCTCTATTAAAATCATTCACCGGCATTTTTGAGCCTGAACTGTTTCACAGAGGCAGGTTAAAAAGGAATCAAAGGAGATGGAAGCAGGGAAAAGTCTCCAGGAGCAAGAGGGCAGCAGGAGCAGCAAGCATGGTGACCTCGGCAGGGCCCTCCTGAACACAGACACAGCTCCCTCAAACCAACTGCTGAGAATGAGAACATGCAGTTTAGTACCAAGTTTAAATGCATTTCCCCCCCAAACAAACCCAATTTCAGGCTTCTAACAGAAATAAATGCATATATTCCATAAAACTTGATTGTAATCGGTCAAAAATGTAAAATTATGAATGAAATTAACTACAGCAATTAATTAAAATGTCTCTGGGAGATTATTTTCTTTCTTAGAGTCGAATGCAAATTACATTTAAAGTTATAATGTAAAGGGTATAAAGTTTTCAAAGATTGTGATGAGTTTGGGCTATTTTCTAATCTTTTATTTATTAATGTATTCTAAAACAATTCAGACATTTAGTACTCAAACAGTTTGAATTTAAAAAGAAAAGAACAGACATCACTTTGTTACCTGTGGCATTTGTTTCCTTATAATCTACTTTCATGTAGTTAAATTTCCCAGTGCCTTTTTCTTTTTTTGTCACGTGAAAGAAACCTCATAGAAAAATACATTACTTTCCATCTACTAAAATTATGACTACACCCATTATGACTACACCCAGTCAATTGCCAGGTTACTGAGAGCAGTCATTGTTCCCAGCATGTGAGAGAAGTGCCCTTGGTTAGGTTACAGACGCATGCAGTTATGAGGAATTTATTAGAGAGGAAGACAGAAGTTTTACATCTTGCTGATTGCACTGATGTTGAGATTAAGGCCTGAGTAAATCATAGCCATTCTCTACCAGGAAAGATGTATTTCTAAAAACCTAGAATCATTTGACTTTGCTGTACACATCACCTGAAATGCTTCCTTACAAGTGGTAACACACAATATTTCGTGTCATGGAATCCAAGAGCTCCTGTTGAACCTAGGAATAAATCTAAGAGGAAAACAGCGATCTGTTTAAATAAAGATGCTGCTTAATGAAGGAGGAAGGCACACAGACAGCCAGCAAGGTGCTGAAGGCTTCCCCGTCCTGTTCAGGTAAACTCACTGCAGCCAACAGCTCTGGGCTTTGTGGAGCACTTCATTCCAAACATGAATAAGCAAAGGGAAAGACTTACATTGCCCCAGATCACTGACAGAACTGAACCATTTTTGGGAACAGGCATTATGACAGTTAGATAAAGGCTCTGAAGCAGGTTGTAAGCAGAAATATTGCTGCAGCTCCATTTACTTCGATGATTTTAGTGCAATTTGAGTGGCAGACAACAGAGTGTCTTATCAAGCAGTGCAAAAAGAGACTCCAGTGTCACCCATATAAAAATACCCACACTGAAGCAGGCTTCTATTGTCCTGACTGTTATTACTGCAGTGCCAGAGCATAAACGGGATGTTAAGATTTATGATCCCACAGATATGTCTACACAAGTTACAATACAAGACTGATTTATTTTAAAAACAGCTATGAAAGCTCATAAAATGCAAACATTCCTGTTGCATGGGAAGAAGTCAGTGCGATTTTTATTGCAGCCATAGGAATTATTTGAGATTGTGACAGGGAGAAGATGGCCGGGCAACAGATAAGTCACAGCTCGTGATTCATAAACGCCTCACATGAAGACTGTTAAAAAGAAAAAACACACCTGACAGTTCTTCAGGAAGACCCAAATGACTTCAGCGGCAGATGCAGCTTTCAGATGGAGATGACGGTTTGGTGAAACCTAGTGGCTCGATTCAGTAACGCGGGGCAATGCACAGAGCTTCGTAAAACGGCTGTGAGATGAAAGCATGCACTTCAACAGGTCCTTTTCTAACTTTGGTTAAGACATAAATGGCTAAGCTAGCCTCAGCTTCATCAGGCAAAAGATCTTCCTAAAGCTTTCAGCTTTCTGGTTAACCAAACTAAATAGAGCTTAAATGTAAAAGCAGAGAAAAAGTGAGAGAAAGCTTAAAACACAACAACAAAATTATTTTACATTTTTTTGGTACAAGTTTATCCCAGCAGAGCAGATGAAAAAGGTGCAGTATTTTGCTCCTCCATTCAGAAAATCAGGAAGAACAGCACAGTAATAAAATCTGCTGGTCGCATGGGCAGCAGCTGTAAAACCATAAGTATCCACGCCTGCTTTGCTATAAAGCAACTGTCAGATTCCTGCCAAGAGAGCTGAAATGGAATGATTAACACATCCTGCACCCTCATGATAGAGCACTCAATTATCCCAGGGTGCTCCATGGGAAACAGATCATTTTCAGCACAGCGCTGCATCAC